CAAAAAAAAAAAAGAACTGGGGGAGGGGGAAGGAGCGAAATGTGCAACAATGAATGCATGAAAATGAAAATCCAACTTTTCTATAACCCTTGTTAAAATAACAACGTTGTTATTGTTAGGTGCCTTCGAGTTGTAGAGGACTCACAGCGACCCTATGAATGAAAGGTCTGAGCACTAAAATAACAATGCAAAAAAAAAAAAAAAAAGTTCCAGGGCACCCAGTGAAAAAGATGGATGGAAGGTGATTCTTAGGAAGAATCTTAGAAGATGCACTTCAGTATAGTACACAGATTAGGGCATGAAAAGAGATTAGAGGTGGTTGCCTTCTGTTTCTTGAGGGCATCAGGGCTAAGAAATGTGCCTGGAAGTGACAGACCTTAAATGACTGACAACTTTGGTGTGAAGATTTTTTTTTTCCCCAGTCAGGCAACGAAAACTGCACTTACAAGAAGGTAGTTAATTATTACAGACAATAAAAGCCAAAGAAGGAACTTTCGGTATTGAGTATAAGCAATGAAAGTGTATTTAATCTCTGATAATGTATTTCATTGACTTAGTTTTTACTGATAAATTGGAAGGGAAAACTAAAATTGCTAAGCTATGTGCCTGGCCAAAGAACAATAAATGTGTTTGCTAATTCTCAAAATTAATATAAATTTTAAACCTTTCTCATCTCTCTCCTGAAATTATTCTAATAACCTTCAACCTGGTCTCCCCTTCTCCAGATTTATGCTTACAAAACCACCTTCCACCAAAATGACTTTCAAAATCTGAATGTCATCACAGTGGTGAAACCTTCCTGGATCCCTCCTCGGTTCATAGCATAGCCCAGACTCCTCATCCTGGCATCTATCTGTCAAACAAAAAATCTCAGCTTACAGCCATGGAGTCTGTTTGGATTTACAGTGACCCTTTCATGGGTTTCTAAGGCTGCAAATTTTAATGCAGATGCCTCCACACCTTTCTGTCTTTGAGCCACTAATGAAGATTTCCTGGTTTTTTGGTTATCAGTGCAACAACCTACAGACTATCCAGTCAGAGATTCCATGGCATTTGTAATTCATTATAATCTGGTCTCTGAGAAATAGGTGGGATTTAGGCATGGGTGTAGTGGGTTGTGTCTTTGCTAAGGGAAAGGTTGACGGTCATTAAGAGCTATTCTGTGGGTGGCAGGTCAGGCAGTTTGTGCCTGTTAAGATGGAGGGTCACCAGGAGCTGAAATGTAAAATGATGTATCAGTCTTCCTGTCTATGGTTCGGAATTGCTTTAGGTACTCCAAATAGGAAGTAACTGACTTTTTTTCTTTTATTTCAAGGAGCTATGAGGTATTACCTAGAGAGCTGCATTATGACCCCGGCCCCCAAAAGGCCATACTTCTGGGGTAGTTCTAACTGACCAGCTGCTCCTCAGTTATTTAATGGAAATAACTGGGTACATGTTCAGAATGCAATTAAAACCAAAGATGTTCACTAGTTTTGCCAATTCATCTCATTGAGGGTTTCTCTCATTTTCACTGACTCTTTGCCAACCACTATAAAAGGTGAAAGATCTTTTCTGGTTCTGATGTCCTTACTTGCCACTCTTTGGCATGGGGCAGCTCTTCTGGCACCAGGCCCCTGCAGTCACACAGCAGCCTTGGCATTAGGTTTTTGAGTTGCAAGGCAGCCAGCAGCACTTAGCAGCCAGGAGCTGCCCCTACCAGCACACTGGGCATGGTGCATAGCTCTCTCTGTGACACATCTTCCCAAGGACAGACTTTCCCTGTATCTTGTTATTAGGTGCAGTGGACAGTCAATGAAAAAAACAGTGACATATGTACAAAAGAATAAACATTGTCCAATGCTTCACCACCCTTATTACTATTGCCGTTGTTGGCTGCTATAGTTGTTTCAATTCATTTCTTTGAAGGTCTTTCTCTTTTTATCACTGATTTCTGGGAAGATCCAACTCAAATGCCAGTGATTTAATGGGAACTCTCCTCCTGTGATTTAGAGCCTCTGAAAACCACTGGAGGGCCATCTATGAATCAGTTCTGACTCCATAGCAATGACAGAATGAGAAAGGAGAAAAGGAGTGAATACGTACTGTATGTGCTTAGCAGCATTCCTGGCCTCTTCCATAGGAATCAGTGCTGTTAAAGGTGGTGCCTCTTTTGTGGTTCTAATCCTCTAGTGTCTCTGCAGGAGAAAGACAGGCAATCTCCTCCCTTGGGATTTACAGCCTCTAAAAACCCCTTGGAGGGTTAGCTAACTAGTTGGTTTTGACTGGTGTCTATGAGTTAAGTTGTTGATATTTGTTTATCTCTGGTTTGGTGTAATCTTGGGTAAATTGCGGAGTGTTATAATCCACAAATTTGTAAGGGTTAACAGGACTATCTTTAAGTTTTTTAATCTGGAAATGGAAAGCTATACTACGTGCTATCTGATCCTTTCCCGCCAACCCTAACTTTTTTTCAAATACCTGAATTCTCACTGAGTGAAGAACTCCACATTCAAAATGCTTCCTACGGAA